TAATTATTGTTTAATAATATGACTCATTTATAATTTGAAATATTTGTTTAATTTTTAATCAAGTCTGATTTAAATATGGTTATAAGATTAAGGATTTAAACAATGATATTGCTGATCTATTATGACCCTATTGATTTATAATGTAATTGTGTAGTTTTATGTTGGATTTATTAATACTGGTCGTTTATATTACGTTTCATTAAATAATGATGATGAAACAATGATTGCTAATTCTAGACATGTATAGAAATGTCTGGAAATTATTTGGGTATTATTTATCGGCCATATTGTTATAAGTTATAACTTATTATAGGCTCATTTTTAATCATAAACCATACGCCAGCAAGTAGCAATTACTGTATTTCATGCAAACATTGCAATTTAAGTCGATCGTTATCATTTGGCTCTAATTTAGTACATTGTGTGCCACATTGCACGCAATTATTTGTAAAATATAAATTCAAGCTATTTTATATTAATATAACATTGGGTACATTACCTATCTATTCAATAAGAATATACTCAAAGATTAAATGATAAATTTCAACATAGAACAATAAATTAAAAACAATTTGTTTAGATTTAAGTTCAATTTTTAGAATTTTATTTATTCATTACAATAATGTAAAATGTTATTTATAGTATATAATAGTATAATCATGGTCATTATTATTTACCTAGATATTGGGAACGACGCAAACGGAACAACGAGTCGGCCAAACGATCGCGTGAAGTGAGACGAGTGAAGGAACTACAGTCGGGCCACCGGTTATGCTATTTGGAAGAGGAGAATATTAAGCTCAGGGCCGAAGTGAATACACTGCGTGACGAGATCGGCAAATTGAGAGAGATGCTACACTGTAACGGCAATCATTGTAACCACCATTCATGATTATTATGAGCAGCATGTTTTACATTGGATCATTTTTTTGCTAGGAAATATTGTATTTTTTATATAATTCTATTTAACCTCGATCTTATATATGTGATTTAAACGCCGCGTTTTATTAACATTATTAATAGTTTCATTTTGAGATGCGGTTTCTTATATAGAGATTCGAGTGTACTATTTATTTATTAAATTCAAACATTTTATTGATTCTTATTTTTTAATAATATTTAAACTAAAAATAAATAATCTTAAACATTGCATATCTAAAATATTTATTTATTGGTTACATTTTATATTTATAATAATTCTATTTACAATTGACATGATTAATAGGCAGGGTTGTTAATAAATTACTAATTTATAATATTGCACCATATTTTATTAATAAATGATCTAATTGATAATCAGATTAAATTGTAAAGCTATACCACAATTCGAACAATCTTTCATGTTTAATTTTTTAAAAATACCTATGGTTTTTATGGTAATATAAAACACAATATACACAACATAATGTATAATTATTAACTTATGTTAGTCAACAAAAAATGATAGACAGACCGTATATAATTTAATTTAAATGAATAAAACAGGCAGACTTTAGTGATTCCCAATGAGGTATATTTTACAAACATTATAAATTATAATATTAAAATTTCTATGTTTTAATTACAGTTTCTTTTATAATAAATCAATCATATTGTGTTGTAATCAAACATAATATTATTATTAATTAGTTTATTATTTTAGAAAACATCCAATACTGTATTATAAATGATTTAATAATAATTTAACATGATCAATAACAATTATATTTTAAAATTATTTAATAATACAGTATTAGCGACATTTTAAAACGTTAATTAAAATGCTTAAATTCATTTATATTAAATCACTTTAATATTTAAATATACCAATATTACAATTAAATATCAACCATGCTCTGTTATATGTAATGTATGCATTGCAATTGGCCTAAGCTGAAGTTTTCTCCCATTGAGCGTGATAAAAATTACCGGCCAATGGCTTGCCAAGTTTGTGATCGCGGGCAAACTTTGTCACATCAAAACTGACCCGGCTCTCTATGGTATCATTACGTACCAGGCCATCAATACGTTGGGGCTGTCGGTACACAACCGTAACGTACCGGTGAATACCCGACCCCTGGGACGGACCCGACGGTATAAAACCTGCCAATATATCACCGGCGGTAATATTATTGCCCGGTATGTTCACTACCAGCCAGTGTTTAGCGCTGCGCAGGGCTATTGGTATGTTGGCGTCCATCATGGCTAAGGTGTACAGTGAACCACATGTTGTTGGCCACACTACCCGGGGCTCATCCTTAACCTGTGCCAAGGTTAGCTCGTTGCCTAGTTTAGCGCTTGCCTTACTCGGGAATGTAATCTTGGTAAAAATTTAATATTTTAAAATAAAATTTTTATTATAATTTAATTGGTTTAGAATAGTCATAAATATTTACTTTAAGGGTATAACGCGGACACGCGTCGAGTATATCGGGCACAATTTTATCTTGCTCAAATGCTGGAAATGAGCATGTTAAACATTTAACTGTTAATATTTTTGTTAACACAATAATGCTAATAGTTAAATAAATCTTTGAAGAAATCATGTTAACTTTAACCAATTTAACCATTGAATAAAATTATGTTAAAACATAATAATATTTATATACTTTTATGTTTAAGCTAGATGAGTACTTGCCAAGGTCAAATACAACTATTATTTTAACGCTGTGAACATATTTTAAACGAGTTTTTAAAAATTGTACCTACTCTCCATTATAAAATGCCCTAATGCACAGATATTTATATTGATATAAATACATGATATAAATCAATAATCAATATTCAGTTGTTATACAAAATTATATAGCCTTTCTAATTAAGTATATTCTATTGCGTGATGCTACATAATTTACAGTAAAATATTTTTTACAATAAAATAGAAAATTTATCAATTAGTAAATCAAAAAATATTTCCCATTTCACCAATTCTTGACCATATAATTCAGAAATTAAACTTTATATAATAATTGTCAATTATATATATGCATTGTCAATTATTAAATTGAATAGCATTAGGTGACTATATTTGGGAAATACTTAATGATATAATTTAATAAAACAAATATAATACCACAGTGCATTTATTATTTATTTGTTACAGTTTGTATAATGATATAAATATAAATATTAATAGTTTGTATAGTGATATAAATGATTTAAAGTCAGTAATCAATATCCTGTTGATATACATAATGACATAACCTTGTTTAAGCATATGATATTAAGTGATGCTAAGTAATTTAGAATAAAATATCATTAATTTTACCGTAGTTGAAATTATAAATATTTATATAATTGATTGTAATTACATTAATATAATTAAATTTGCAAAATTAATTAGATATATTAATAAATAATCTATTTAATCAATAATGCCAGGACAAAAATAATTGCCAACAATCAGATAATCCTAGATTATATTTTTCAACAAGCTCCGTAATCATATAATTTATTTTGTGCATTTACATGTGTTGATTCAATACGACCATGTTTTTAATAATAATTTTAAAGTAACGGTTTGAAACATAATGCAATAGACAACTTACATTAAAATATTATAAATAATAAAATAATAATTTGTCAATTAATAAATCAAAATATATTTCCCATTTTTGCACCAATTGTTAAACAAATTCAGTTTATTAATTATAAGTGCATTGTCAATTATTAAATTGAATAGCATTAGGTGACTGTATTTGAGAAATACTTAAAACTATATCTTAATAAAACAAATATAATACCACAATGTATTTATTATTTATTTGTTACAGTTTGTATAATTTATAATTTTAATAGTATTTATAGTAATATATTAAGAAATCAATAATCAATATCCTGTTGGCATACAATGTATGCCATACATAATGAAATCACCTTGTCTATGTATATGGTATTGAGTTAGGCTAATTAATTTGTACTAAAATTTAACTAATTTTAAATAATACAGTAGTTGAAATTAAAAATGTTTATAAAATTGGCTGTAGTTATAGTAATTTAATTTGCAAAATCAATTACATTTATTAATAAAGCACTTTAAAATTTGTTCTGTACATTTACATATTATATATTAAATATGACTAATGACTCATGAACAAAAAACTGTAAAACATATTTAATCATAATCCCAATTTACTGATATGTAACTCTAACTTGTAATAGTTGGACCATGCAAAAGAGGACGAAATAATTTTCTACATTAATGTTTCATTCATTAACTTAATGCGTCCAGTTGGTTTAACATCAATTACATGGGCACAATATGACTATTTTTAAGCGCACAGGTTGTGCATGGTAATAATTTTAAATAACGTTAGTTACTCTATTAAAATTCATTTATCACAGGAACTAATAACATTAAATAAATTTAAACATATTAATATAATAGTTTGCCTAAACATATATTTGTATTTAAACGAATTAAATAATGTAGTATATGAATTAGTAATTAATTTTTATAACAATGATTTGCTACAATAACAAAAGGAAACAAACCCATTTATAAGGATACTTATTTCAGCACAATATATTATTCAATAAAATTAATATACATTCAGTAACTTTATAAAATATAATGTAACTTGTACTAAAAATAGCCAATTAAACTAAATTCACTATTAATGCTGTGACAAAAAATAATTTCCAGCTACCGGTTCGCCCAGGGTATAATTACTAGCAAAATCCTCCATGCTAAAATTATGCCGATTAACATCATCACGAGGGGGTGGTTCAATATATCCCTGTTTTTGCTCGTAAACTAGAAACACGTAACGGTGAACACCTGTGCCAACAGGTGGTGCCGGTCCCACAAACCCGGCTATAATATTACCATAACTAATCTGTTTGCCCGGTATGTTCATCACAAGCCAGTGTCTAACATTACGGTATATGGGGTCAGCACGACTGGGCGCATCCGGGTCTACCAGTGCCAGAGTATAGAGTGCGCATTGGACTGTTGGCCACTCTACTGCTGGCTGTTGGCTAGTTTGAGCTGGTGTGAGATGAGCACCAAGATTTACCGTTATGTTATTTGGGAATGTGGCCTGTGATTAAATTAATTAAACATGTTAATAACAATTTGTTTTATGCATATTTTAATATTTATGAGTGAATCTATTTTAATTATTATACAAAATAATATTTCTAAAATTGCACAATTAAAATGAGCAAAATTAATCTATCTAGTATAAAGTGCAAAACTCTATGGCTACATACTTTAATCCTATCTCTAGGACTGGCATCGATTACATCGGGCACAATACCGGCAGCTCTAAACATCATATCGGTCTCAACCACGTCCACGTACTCATCCCATTGAGCGTGATAAAAATTACCAGCCACAGGTTCACCAAGCTGATGATCCAGAGCAAACTTGGTCACATTGAACATTAGCCTACTCTCGATGGTATCGTTTCGCACGAGACCCTCAATACGATGCGACTGTCGGTATATAAGTGTAACGTATCGGTGAAGGCCTGACTCCCGGGGCGGCAGTGACTCGAGAAATGTGTCCAATATATAGCCAGCCGTTATATTTGCATCTGGTATATTTATTACCATCCAGTGTTTAACGCTGCGATGCGCTGGATTAGCCCTGCTGGGGACATCAAGATCCAGCATGGTTAGCGTGTATAGTGATCTGGGCACTACTGGCCACTCTACTCGCGGTTGTGATTTTACTTGTGTTGGGGTCAACTCGTTGCCCAAATTTACGGAGACATTGTTTGCAAATGTGATCTATGGAATAGGATGTCAATTATTTTATGTGCCATATTGTCAAATCTAAATTGTTTAAGATTAAAATACTGGTTAAAATTAAATAAATACTTTGGTTGTTGTTTGAGGACACGCGTTGAGTATGTCAGGCACAATACTATCGTTTTGAAATGCTATCACTGAACAAACTAATAGTGCATTTGCAAACATGATGCTTTATTTTCATTAAGATTAACTTGTAAATAAATTAGCACATACCACTTGTTTAATTATTAAAAACTAGCTTTATATTTACTACTTTTTTTTGCAATATTTGAGAATTGACAATTTATTACAAATCGCAACTATCCTAATTGTGAATCTAATCTAATAATTAAACATGTGCACATTTCTAGTTGTGATAGTAATTAATTCTTGTGAGAATAAACATGTTTTAAAACATTATTCTTATAATACTATTATTAATAAAGCTAAAAATAGGTCTTCTGTAGGCAGCCAACTTTAAACAATTTCTTAATGGTTTATCAGGTAATTTATGTATGATTAATATGTTATTTTAATATATAGTTTGCGTTTTAACTACAGTATCATATAAAATCAATGATATTTTATTATAAATTATTTAGTATCATGTAATAGTATGAATTTAAACAAGGTTATATCATTATGTATACCAGCTGGATATTGATTATTGATTTATTAATATTAATGTATTATCTACGAACTATTAATATTATAAATTATACAAACTGTAATGAATAAATAATAAATACAAAGTTGTATTATATTTGTTTTATTGAATTATATAGTTAAGTATTTCTCAAATACAGGCACCTAATGCTATTCAATTTAATAATTAACAATGCACTCGTAATTATGTATCCTAATTCAATTTAGTTTATTAATATAGTTGGTGCAAAAATGGGAAATATATTTTGATTTATTAATTAATAATATATACAATTTTATAAAGTATATTTTATTAAATAATAATTAACATTATTTTATAGAAAATTTAAGATTGCACGATATATTTTACTTTAAAATACTTATAAGTTATAACACAGTAAAATATTAAATTGTAACAATAACATATTTTAAGTTATATATAAGTACACTTTACATATAATTTTTATTATTCAACTCTAACATTATAATAAAAGCATATATTTTAGAGTATTTTTCTATATAACTAGTAACGAGGATTTTGAATAATAGTTAAAAACTTAACTTGGTCACTCAATCATCACGTATTAATTAAATCATTTTCGTTATCGCACAAATTTACTAACAATAATAATTTAATTTTAAATAAGAATTTTAATAAAATTTAAATAACAAACAACTTCTGTTTAATACAAATTTTAAGTTTTTCTAAATCGGGTATAATTCTGTATAATTACACTAATATCTAATAATATTTACAATCTTAATATAAATAAACAAATTCACCAAGTGATATGCAGTTTAGTACCTTAATTATCTTTACATTATTATTATTATACTTTATATTACATTGCATTAACATTTTTATTTTTAAAAATTATTTTTAACAAAATACGTAATCATAAAAATTTAAATATTATTTTAGTTATTTTAGTAATTTATACATAGTCAAATAATATAATTAATCATATATTAATTTTTGGCTTGAAAATAATTGACGGCCACGGGTTCGCCCAAATTGTATTTGGTGGCAAAGACTTTAATGCTAAAACTACCCCTATGATCATCATCATCATCACGAGGTGGCGGTTTAATATGACCCTGTTTTTGTTCATAGACCAAAAACACGTAACGATGGTAACCCGTGCCCACTGGGGGTTCTGGGCCTTCAAATGCGGAAACAATATCACCTTTACTAATACGATTGCCCGGTATATTCATCACTAGCCAGTGTCGCCAATTACGCATAGTGGGCTCAGCACGACTGGGCGCATCCGGGTCTACCATTGCTAACGTGTATAATCCGCCGCATTTAGTTGGCCACTCTATTTGGGGCTGCTGACTGGTTTGATTAGGTGTGAGATGAGTACCCAGATTAACGGCTAGTTTGCCCGGGAATGTTATCTAACAAAATGCACAATGTCAACATTTAATTACCTTGACAATTTTTAGTAGTTGTTATTAAACAGATAATATTCTTAAAATGTGAACTTAATTTTTTTCAAATGTATTAATGTAAGTTAATTTAAATATATTATTATTACCTTGCTTATTGTTGATGGGCAAGCGTTAATGACATCGGGCACGATATGGTCATTTTGAAACACAATACAGGCTAGTAAGCCTAATACGGGGACAAACATTTTGATTATAGTTAAACCAATAAACTTAACTTTATTTTATGTTAAATTTATTTCAAACATAATTATGATTGTCTTTATATACACCAAATATACTAAATAAATAAATGATTGATTAAATATGCAGTTGTGTATTTACGTATTGATTTTAAAATAATTGTTAACATGCACTGTATTTTAGGATATATTAATATAACGATAACACTTGATATATTGTGACTTGATAATTAATTTTAATATATTTTCTCCGAATTCTGCGTTATGTTTAATATAGAGTTTACGTACAGTTTATTAATAGAGAATAAAAAAGATAACTTTGGTGCAAATATTGTAAACATGTAATAAAATTGATAATGTCACTAATGTACCCGAATTTATGGTAGAACACTAGTAGGGAAATGTCAAATTAGTTATTAATCTATAACATGATCATATTTTAAATATATTTACATTTATTAAATAAAATATTTTGCATACATTTTATATTATATTTCAAATTACCGGTAGTTATTAATGTGATTAATTAATAATTTGTCGTAACAATAAACTATGTAAAACATAATATTAACACTGTAAAAAGTTATTACTAATAACTATGTGTTGCAATATTATAAACCGCAATTGTTAGAACTTAATTTAAATTACAATATTTATTTGGCGTTTCTAATATAATAAAATTGTTATTTAAAATATGAATATTTTAATTTATTATGTATTATTTTAAGCTATGTTTTAACAAACTAATTATGTTATAAGTAATTACTATACCAAATAACAAATTTATTTAAAAATATTATTCAGTTTTACAAATAAACAATAACATTAAACTAATAGCAAATATTTTTAGTTTAATATTTATTTACTAACGATGCATTACAGTTATTACAATTATTAATTATGAGTACTCCTGTATATTATGCTTATAAATTTTATTATTCTAAAATGTCTTTAAAAATAAATGTTGGCAACTCATAATCATTTATGAATTATCTAATATAAGTACATCAAAATATTGTTATAAATTTTATAATAATTTTGAACATAAAAATATTATGTCTAAAACGTTAGTCTCTCATATAATGTTGCATAAAGACATCATAATTAATATTATTTTATAATAGGCTTGGCCAAACGCTATCGTCATTTGTGTAAGAATAGAGTGACCAACATATAAACTTTAAGCATGAGTTTTATTTCAAATTAAACATTTCTTATAATCTATTTATCAATTATTTAACGTCTGTTTCCTTTTAATGCTGTCTTATATTGAAAGGTAGACACATATTTTGAATCATTATTGATTCAATTGTTGTATTAATTGCATGTAACACCAATTATGTAATCGGTAAATTAACTTCATAACTTCGCTTCTTATAACCAGATATATTAGACCAAAATAAGCCATAGACATAATTTCTAAAATATGCCTGGGTTTTTTAAAGTAATTTTAAGTCAAAGTATACTAAATTTCCATCTCAAGTGTAAAGTTTATTGCAAAAGTTTGGAAAATTCACTAAAATACAACAGGTAAATTTTAAATTACAGGCATTTTACACTTTCATTTTTCCACACATTGCAAGTATATTCCATAATATATAATTTATTGGAAAAATGAATAGATACGTATAAAATTATTTTTGATCTTAACATTTTGGTGTATATATTGTTAATACTAAAGGAAATGTTTACAAATATACCTAGGCACTAATCAATTAAGTGTTGCGATAGTAAGTGCTTGACTCAGACTCGGGTCAACAAATATAATTTAAACTAATATTAATATTATTTACAATAAACAATTAAATTAATATAATATTTTGTTAATTAAACTCAAAAAGATTAATATTTGATAAACAATTTGATTTTCTATTAAATTATTAATATAAAAATTCATGTGATTTTTTGAGGGAATAACCTGGTCACTCTAAAAAAATCGAACGCGTCCGATTTTTGGCCAAGCCAATTTTATAAAGTAAAGTAAATCTATTTTTAATAAATGTTTATCTGCGTACACATTATAATTTTTTAAAATTTCTAGTTCAAATTAAACTAGAAACTTTTGAGTTTAAGTTAAAGTTAATTAGCAATCTTAATATAATGTCTGTCATTAAATGTAATCAATTATTGCCTAAAGAATTGCGAATACAATCAGCAGAGAATCAATTGTATAGAATCGGGTTATTATTACACAAACCCAAAATACCCATAAAGCGACCATGGTACGCAACACCAATCTGCATTTGCCTATCATTCTGGTATATATTAATCGCAAACATAGTATGTTTAGTAAACAGCGGGCAAAACGAGACGATTGTATTAATATTTGGCGACTTTTTTCATATAATGGGCGCATTATTTCATTTCAAAATAGGTGCATTTACAGTCATGACATTTTCAATCTCGCTTCAAATGGTTGGCTATTATAACTACCGGTGCGATAATGAGCCCACATTTCTACGGGTATTTCAAATGGCAGCCGGTATTACGACAGCCAATAGTGTCGGTCTATCCCACCCCCGGTTTGTGTACCTATTAGTGAAAAAATTGAAAATCTTTTTTAAATATAATCACAGACTAAACCTAACATTAGCCGTATCGGGAGGTTTGTTATGTTTTGTACCGTATTTGTTATACAGACCACTTTTAACAGCCATTCTCTACGGTATACCTAACGGTTTGTTGTATTTATTAGTCACATATAATATATTTTCATATCTGATATGGATGTTAACCTATTTCTATATATTATGCAATTATTTTAAATTAAAATTTATTACAATTCACAACAAATTAAATAAAACTAATAACAATTCACAGAATATTCTGTTATTAATGCAAAAATTAAATAGCATTTATTGCGAAATTAATGAATACAACACAACTTATTGGTCTAAATATCTATTAGTGTTTTGGTTTTGTTTCGGGTTTTCAATTATTATTAGTTTGTATATTTTATTATTTACCAAGCTTGTTTTAATACTGCGTTTGCTAATGATCTACTTTACCATGGCAGCATTTATTAGTTTTAACTTGGTTATTTTTACTACCTCATCAATTAACACAATAGCTCATAAATCGTATCAAATGTTAAACACAATTATTATAATTAGTACACATAAACAAGGTCGCTTTCTTTCAAATTTAATAAAAATTAATTAAATGTCTATTTGATTATTCTAGACATGATATTAATCTGCATTTAATATGTATTCTATTTAACTTAAGTTAAACTGTTTAAAATTATTAGTTTTTTTATTAAATTTATTAACAAAGTAAATATGCTATAATTTTTATCATGTAGATTTAATTGTGTTATATTATAAATGTTAAGTCCAAAAATATTTGATATTAATAAAATATTATGATGATGCTGTTTTTCTAATAGTTTTAATACTTGTTAGAATATTAAATATATTAAAACAGATAAACAAAATAATTAAAAGTATTGTTTGTTAAAAATATAAACTAATGTTGGGACAAAAAATAATTTCCTGCCACAGGTTCGCCCAATGTATAATTACTAGCAAAATCCTCTATGCTAAAACTTTGCCTATTTACATCATCACGAGGTGGCGGTTCAATATAACCCTGTTTTTGTTCATAGACCAAAAACACGTAACGATGGTAACCCGTGCCCGCCGGGGGTGCCGGTCCTTCAAATGCCGATATAATATTACCATAACTAATCTGTTTGCCCGGTATGTTCATCACCAG